CAAATCCCTCCAGGGATGGTGACTCTGCCCCTTCCCTGTGCCAGTGCTTGACAGCCCTTTTGATGAAGAAATTTTCCTAATATCCAGTCTGAAGCCCCCCTGGCACAATGTGAGGCTGCTTCCTCTTGTCTTGTTACTTGGGAGAAGAGCCTGACCCCACCTGGCTACAGCTTCTATCAGGGAGTTGCACAGAAGGAGGAGATCCCCCTGAGCCTGCTTTTCTCATCTGATTGGTTCCCTGTCAGTAAATTTCCCAAGTCCAATATTCCCTCAGCTCTTTCTCTGAAATGACTTTTAATGGTGATTTATGGAAGAAATGAAGCTACCTCTAGCCCTTTGCAGGTAGAACACACCCAATAAACTCAAGATCCTGAAGTTAAAGGAAGAAGAAATGAGCAGAGAAAATAGAAAACCAACCACTACCATCAACAACAAAAAATACAGAGGGACATCAGTTTACCATCAGAAAGTGCAAAACCTGTTCCTACAGGTTTTCACCCAAATGAGAGGTGTGCTATTGTTCAGGCTGGAACTTCTTTGTGATATTAAGTCTTCAGGGCAGGATACCTATGAAGATTTGAGGCACATCTGTGCATTGTCCTGCTGCTGCTGCTGCAGATGGTGGGGTTGGAGGTGGTGGAGAAGCCCATGAGGGCATGGAAGGAAGAAGACTTGGGAAATTTGTGGGTTTTGCCAAAGTAAAGGCCAAAGGAGGAAAGGAGCTCCCTCAGCTGCTCCAGAATCTGAGACAGCACTGGCCAAGCATGAGCTGTAATAGGGGGAGCTGGCATTGGCAGGCACTGTACTGCATCAGGGTGCTCTGTGATGCTGGGCAGCTGAGGAAATGCAGCTGTAAAGCCAGGACTGATCCAGGTGGAAGGTGTGCTCCCACATCTGAGTGTGGCTGTGTTGAGTCTCAGTGCCAGGGTCTCCCATCCTTCCTGGTGCCCCAGTGTGGGATGGATCTGCAATGCAGCTCAGCAGTCAGCCCCTCTGAAGGAAGGTGTGTCCTGGCATGATTGAGGCTGAACAACCAAGGACTGTGTGTTGATGCATTCAGCCTCCTGTCTGGCTTTAAATTTGTCCCCACCTTCTGTTCTTGGGATGTTTGGATGATCACATTGCTCTTGAGACAGTTTTTTCGTCCCTGCCTCCTGTGACAGTGTTGTTTACCTGCAGTGCAATGTGGCAGTAACAAAAAAAACCAAAGTGCTGTTTGCAGGCAGAATTGCCACCTTCTGTTTCTCCTAAAGTGAAACACCAGCACTCCTGCCCCATGCAGAAAAGAAACTGTGGGGATAGCAAAGGAAGGGACGTGCTGGCAGTAGGTGTGAATGAGTTGTCCTTTCTCCTGGGTTGGATAAAACATTCTGAGGGATGGTGACACCGCTGTGAGGTACCACTGATGTTACAAACAAACCTAAATTGCTAATTACTGACTTAAAGCTCTGCTTTAGTTATACACAGAGAGACCAGGGATTTAAGCCACTACTGAGGATCTCCAGTACTCAGTTTGTTTGGATTCACACCACCCAGGGCTGCTTGTCCCTATACCAATCCCAGCAACTCCCACAGTGTTTACCCCTGAACTTCAGAAGTGATTGTTGCTTATTTACCTGCCACAATATTTGGCATTTGTGGCTAGTCCAGATCATCAAAGTAAATTGTTCTGGGTTTGAGCTCTTGTCAGCAGGGAGCTCTTGGAGAGGAAAATTGGCACCAAATCTTGCATTTGTTCAAGGGAGTTGAGAGATTAAACCCAGAGAGTTACAGTGGGAGTTTAGCCCACCCCTGCCTGGGGATGTTTGCACCTCACTGCCAAATTGTTTGCTAAAGTGGGAATTCAGTTTTCTGTCACAGACATCTCTCTTAGCCTCTGCTGTTAGTTTAAACAAACAAAACTCAAAACCACAAAGATTTTGTTTCAACTGACAAGTTTGTAATAAAAAATTAGGCAAGTGGATGAAAGCAGAAAGCTCCCAAGGCATAATGAGCTAATGCTCAGTGGAAGTGTCTGTCCTTTCCCAGTCTGCCCAGTTCCAGGTGTGAGTCCTGATGGCTCCCTTATTTTGTTTGAGGTGAGATGACTCAGCTGAGAAGGGGGATGTGGTCCTGTTGGTGCTTGTTCTTTATGCAGAAAATCAGAATTTGTGTACTCCTCCTGCTGTGTGTGGTTTGAGAGCATCATCAGCCCTGCTAAAGTATCAGGTGTTCTCCAGATTGCAGCTGCTGCCTTTTGATGAGCAAATTTGCTATGGAGCTCAGGCACTGATTCAGTGCTGAGCACCAGGAGCACCTGAATAGCAAAGGAAATAAATGGGGGCCAGAGCTGTTCTGCCACTTTTTTGCAGTTAAAGCCCTAAGGAACATTACCGACCCCAGGCTGGGTGTGTCACCCTCTTCACCAGGGTAAAATGTGTGTGTAGTGATGGGTGTCTTTGATTTGCCTTATTTAACATTTGTAGTAGTGAATTTATTTTTTAAAAAGCAACACAGAACACATCTTGAGGAGGGAGCTCAGCTTGGCAATACAGGAGCATAGGATTCCTCAGAGCATCTCTGGGAAACTGCTGTTTCTCATTCTTGGGGCTATTACTGAGGCACATGGCTAGAACAGAAACCCTGCCATGTTAATACTCACTCTCATAGAGGTAAATATAGCAGCTGTGAGGACCTAATTTAAAAGTGCTTGTGCAACAGAATTCCCTCAGTGCTGTCCATCAGTTGATGGTCACATTGCTCTGGGTGTGACAGAGGACAGGAGGAATCATTGAACTGTTGTGTTCATCAGCAGCCATCCCAGCTCACTCTGGTTGGGTTTCTTGTGGGTTTTGAGTCTTTTGTGACATGATAGACCTGTGAAGTATTTATTGTTGATGCTGGCTTTCTGCCTGCTCCTGGGCTTGCTTTTTCTTGCCACTGAGACAGGTGGGTCTGGCACATGAAGCTGAAAATAGTGCTGCCTTTAAAAGCCAAGAGACCTGAAAATAGGTTAAATATAGTTCCCCTCTAGAGGAAGTTTTATGCTTTGCTTTGGGAAGAATTTGTATGATTATATTCTTGAGGAATGATCACAAAATGGGAATGCTGTGGATTGACAGCTTCTGGGATTTACCAGCATTGAGTAACCCAAAGATATTGCTGCTGCTGCTGCTGCTGGGTAACATCAAATCATCTTCATGATCTGGGTTCTTCAGAGGCTGCATCATAGGAACAGTGTGGCTGAGTGATGTGTTGAAACATAATGCATCAATTTAAGCCCTAATGCATTTTGAAATTAAAGTATCATCATACACTTGGAGCTGTGCAGTGAGAATACTTCAGTTACAGTACCCAAACTGCTGCTCATGCTTGAGTACTTACTGGAATGTAAATGTTGCAGCCTAATTCTGGATTTTAAAAGGCTGCCTATACAGTACTTACTTTAACAAATAATTTTAGAAAGCTGTATAAAAATTGATGTCTATCTATATACCATAGTGGGATGTGGGAGGCAGTGAAAACACTTCTACAATCTGGAAATGTGCTGTGGGCTTCAGGTTTGCCACTCCAGTGTGGTTCTGACTCCAGAAGTGGGGTCTAAAAGCCTGCCTGGCTGGGTCTCTTCCCCTCTTACTGAAACACACAGTCAAGAAGATTATAAATGCTCAGGTCCTTTGGTTTAATTCCAGCTCCTGTTCTTGGATTATAGATTTGTCTAATTTAACAAAGCAGGCTGTAAGCTAGGGAGTGGATTAGGATGAAATGCTGACAGAGCACAGTGGAGTTCAGGCTGGGATGAACAAGGAAAGCCAGGAATGCAGCAGCAGTGGCAAGGCTGGTTCTGAAAGTGGAGGCTCTGTCCCTGATGGTGCATTCATGTGGCACTTCCCAGAGCACAGGGTGTGCAATGAGTGATGTACCAATGCAAATAACTTCTGGACCACTGAAATGCAGATGAGGCTTCTCCCTGCTCAGCAGAGGGAGATTTTAGCTGAGTTACTGGGAGGCTGAGCAAGCCTGAAATTGGAGTTCAGCCTTGTGGCCTCAGCAGGACATCATCCCTCATGTATCATTCCAGTGTGTTCAATGGCAGCTGCATTTTGTAGTTTGAAGCTGTTGAAAACACTTAATGGAACAGCCTGCAAGGAGTCTTGAGGTCACTGAAACAGCTGGATGAAGGGCCACTTTTGGAAGGACACACTTGGTTGATCACTGGAGATCCATCAAGGGATCCATTCCCTTTCCAAGAGCCCTCCTGGTGCCCTCAGGTCTGTGTCAGCTGTGGGTACATAAGGATGTTCCAACCACATCCTTTGTTACCAGAATGAGCTCTTTGCCAGCAAGTGCTTTAGCAGGAGCTGGAGTAAGCAGTGCTTTTTTATCCCTGGTCTTATTGATGTTTTGTTACCTGCATGTACCTGAGAGCTTCTAAGTGCAGAAACAGCCATTTCTTTTCCTGTTTTTTCAACACAAGTGCTTGCTGCAGTGGATTTGTCACCTATTCCCTGCCAGCCAAGACTTTTTACTGTACAGGACCTTGTTTGTGTCCCAAGCCAAACAGGCTTTCCACAGATATTTGGGAGTATCTTGGGTGAAAAATGTGCAGGATGAGACACAGAGCTGTGATGTGATGCGCTGCTTTGTGCCTCTTCTGTCTTCTCTGCTGCATAAACTGGATGTGGGTAGGAAATAATGCGTGGTGCAGGCAGAGGAAGAGGAGAGGGAGACTTGAGGGGATGAATGAGTCAATGTCTGCACCCTTTTTGATGTGTCTGCTGACTTAGAGCACAGTCATAGATGGATCCCCTGCTTGCTGATGTCAGATCTGTCAACTGGATTTTGCAACTGTGCCAAGGGGATTAACTCTGTGTGTGGAAGTGCCTCAGCATCCTCCACTGCAATCCTCCTCAGTCTGGAGGATTGGGATACTGTGCATTTGTATTTGTCATGTTATTTCTGACTGAATATCATCTGGGGTCAGCACTAAAGCCAATCTCTCTCCCTCTCTCTCTCCTTAGCTGAAACTTGAAGATCGCTCAGTGGTCCCTCGAGATGTGGTCAGACACATGAGCTCCAGTGTAAGTGCTTTTTTTTTTTCCTTTGTCCTTTTTGATTGTGATACTGCTGCATGGATTTCTAGGACTTGCCAAATTGCCTGAATGGAGCTGGACAGTAATGCTTTGAGCATGTTCTATATTTAGTGTGTTGGATGGACTTAGCTGCCTCCAGTGAAAATGGAATTCTGCTAAGCTGCTCTCTACAGTTGCATATCTGCAAAGGTCTCCTGAGCAAGCAATCCTGGGCATGGTCAGGGAAGGAGACAAGAAGCCTGTCTACCCTGCCAATATTAAAGTTTTACATTCATCCATTCTGAGTTGTGGGGACTGTGGACCTGCTCTCCCAGTACGAGGGAGGTTGGAGTGGGGGCAGGTCCCAGTTCCACTGCTTGCCTTTGCCTCTGTTTTCTCTGATAGAGAATTTGGAGGGAATATTTTCAGACACACCTCTCAATCTACAGTAAGCAGCATCTTTTCCAGCTTCTCCCAGAAATTCAGCAAACCAAACACTGCTGGAGAATCCAACACAGCTAGGTTGACAGAAAGCAAGCTGGTTCTTAAACAGCAGCTGATAATTGTTCCCTTTGCTCTTTCTGCATGCTGTTCTATGCCCCAGCCCCTCTGTTCTAGTTGTATGGCACTTGTGCCTATCAGAGATGTATGGATTTGTGTTTTGTGTAGGGAATACTGGGGAGATTGTTGAGTATTGATGATCAGATGGGATTTGCACTCTTTAGGAGCTCAGCAAGGTTGGCAATTTCTTGCTGTGGCTCAGAGCTAACCTCTAACCCTGTGCCATATGGCCCTGCCATGTGTTTGCCTCTTCTTCTCTTGACTTGCTTCCAGCAATGTGGCTACCAAGGCTGTGCTGAAGGAAGCAGCTGGCCACTAACTGCTGCAGTTGCACCACATGGTGTGCAGCCTGGTACAGGGACAGAGAAGGCTCTTTTCTGACCTGTCTGCCTTGTTTGGGTTTTTGTTATTTTTAAATAAAGCCGTTTTTGTCAATTAGTAAAAGTAAACCCACCCCCTTTTCCACAGAATATTACAAAGAAAAAAAAAAAGGAATGAGAAACTTGAATAATAATTTGAAAATTGCTGAAGCAGTATTTCCTTAAGAAATTTAATTGTTTGAAGTGGAAATTTGAAGTCAACATCTTTTTCTAAAACTGCAGCTCTGTGGAAGAGTTCTCATCCAAAACAATGAACAGGTAGAAACTGGAATTATAGGCTGTTAACAGTGTTGTACCTGGCACAGCTGGAGCTGTGAGAATGTTCTTCTCACTCAGGGGGATGCTTTGAGTCCTTTCTCTCAGCTGTTTGTTATCCAATGCTTCTTAAAGTCATTTTAAGCTTTCAGGACAGCAGGTTGTTCTCCTCTTGGCAAACATGGATGTGCTGCTTTTGTTTGCAATTTCCATTCTCATTTGAGCAGAAATAGGCTCCCCTGGCTTGCTGCACATGCTTTGGTAGATATGTACCCAGCAGTTGTCTTGCACATTCATTTTTGTTGGTTTGCATGTTTAAATAATGGTATTTGCTTGACCCTTGTGCCCAGTAATTTCATTTTTTTAATTGATGGAATGGTGAGATTATAACTCAATTTCTTCTCTGTTGAAAAGCGTAACAAATCTGAGGAGGACTTACATGTCCTCACCCTCAAATGTTTCTAAATGTTAGTGGGGGTAAATTAAATAATAAGCCCCCTTTATTCCAAAGAAAACCTTCACTTGTTAACAGATATATTCCAAAAATTACAGGAGCTTTTAAAATAGAAAACCTGCAAGTGTCAGCCTGCCAAATTCAGGGTGTGGGATGGTTGCCCTGTGCCAGTTGGCCTGGCAAGTGGAGAATGTGGAACTTATTCTGTATTCAAGACACTCTCTTAGGGCTTGTTTTTAACCTTGAGCCAGAAGGACTCAAAATCCTCTGTTCCTCAAGAGAGGAGAGCTAACTCAAAGTCCATGTGCTTCTCATTGAGCACTGAGTGTGGGGAAAGACTGCTTCTGGGGGAAATGCATCAAATGAGATCATTTTCACTCAGTGCAGTTGGGCCTGAAAGTCTAATCCAGCTGGATGAGAAGCAGCAGAAGTGGCAGAGGTAATTTTTCCAGGTGATATGCTAATTTGGGGAAAAAGGTAAGAAGTAGATCTATAATCTGTCAGACACCTGGATTTGTTGTTTCAAAGGATTCTGGGCTATGCTGTTCCTTTTAAACAAAGGAATAAGAGTGGTGTAAAGATCCTCTTATTAGAAAAGAGTGCTGAGGGGAATAGTAGAAGGATGGGAGGTGGAAGATGTGGGATTGATGGCTGGGATTGATGGCTGTGTTTGCAGAGCTGCTGGGCTCTTGGATGGGAATTTGCTGGCCTGCCTTAAAGCCTTGTCTCTGATGGAGAAGGAATCAATTCACTGCTTAAATATTCAGTATCTCCAGTGTGGTGCATGATGTCAGGGTACCAGAAGAAGCAGGAACAAGGTCTAGAGAGTGCACTCAGTTGTGGAGTGAGTGAGGCTTGAACCCATCAGCTCTCCTCACTCAGTTCAGTCACCTCCCTTTTCCAGTTCTGCTGTTGGAATTGATGGAAATGGATTTTTTGTAACAGAGCTGTGAAATGTCAGCTCGTTTCATTTGGCCCCTCCTTTAATGGGATCAGCTAATGAAAGGATGGGTGTGCTTGAGCTGTGCCCAGCTGAGGACCTGCCCTGGAAGATGGGACAAGTTGGCAATGTCTCTCTCTGGGACTGCACTGCTGAGCACTGCTATAAACTCAGAGTGATTCAGCAGAACCTCTCAGCCTGCAAATCTGCATCCTCTGCCACAGGCTGATGTTTCATGTGACAGAGAAATAAGTGAACTCATAATAAAGGAAGGTTCAGTGGCAGGTGAGGGAGGAGAGCTGTGATTTGACAGCCCTGTAGGTCCTGGGGCTGCTCATAGCATTGATCTTTGCTTTCTTAACCACAGACAGGGCTCAGTACTTGCTCAAGCATTTTATAACTGGAAGGAGAAGCAAGCTGAGCTAAACCTGTTGCTCTTGGCCATGACTAGTAGCACCCAGCTGTGTTAGGTGGGAGGCACCTTTAGGGTGGTGCAGGTGCCTTCTCCATGGGGAAACTCTTTTAGAGAACAGGCAGAAGGGTGCTGGAGCACATCAGTCACTCCAGTCCTGGTTTTATGGCTTGCTGTACTTTCACCATCCATTAAAGGGATTTTAGACCAGGAGACAATATGATTCACAGAAATCACAGGTGTTGGATTGTATCATGTCTCAGAGCTGCTGTCATGTTGGCTGCTGATAACGGAAAAAAATTAATTTTGAAATGTGCAGTGTAGGGCAAGGAATTTGTTTCTGGAGGGGTTTTTGGTTCTGACTAACAAACAGTCTAAAACACAGGGCCTGAACTGCAAAGCACAGCCAGAGGATGGTGTGGGTATACTTGTTTTAGCTGACTCTGGAGGAAAAGCAGGGCAGGTGGCTGTGCTGCAGCCTGCAGAAGCTGTGGGTTTGTTGAGCAGGTGCCACTTCTGAGCTGGCCTCACTCATCCCACAGCTCAAATCGTGCTGGCAGTAGCTGTTGTGAAGCCAGTGTAATTCTGGCCAACCCTTTTCAGGTGAGAGTGATGGTAGAGCTCTGCTGGGCTCTTTGCTGGCAGCCTGTGCAGGCAGCAGGCTTAGCTGCAGTGTGTTGTGATGGAGCTGAAGCTGGGAAAGGCTCCCTTTGCTCTGCAGCCCTTCTGGAAAGGCATGGCAGTGATATGTGGGGCAGCTGGAGGCACTGAGCCCCTGCTGCTTTGGGCTCTGCCAGCCCTGCTGGCACAGCTCTGGCTGGGGCTGGCCCCCCTCTCCTGATCCCATTGCCTTGGGAGCCTCAGGGCTGCAGGGCCCTGGTGTGGGTGAGGACAGAGCCAGCAGCAGGCAGGTGGAAAGGAAAGCAAACCATCCAGAAGGGCTGAGCAGTCTGTCCAGGAATCACCTGCACTGTCTTTGCTCCAGCTGCCAGTCCTGAAAGTGAAACTGAATGAGTTGAGCACCAGCAAACTCCTGAACTCCCACAAGGGCTGCCCAGGGCTCTGAGTGACAGCCTTGACTAAACATTTCCCTTGGTTGAAAGAACAGAACTGAGCAAACAAATCCACTTCTCACAGGGTATGAGCCCTTTGAGTGTTGTGCTCAAGTCCTGCTGGAGCAGAGACCTTGATGTTTGAGATAAGGACAGCTCATACCAGGGCATTTGTCATGCTGGCCCTCAGTCAGCTTTGATAATGGACTTGTGGTCTTTAATAAATAAAACTATTGATTGTCCCAGCTGTCAGGAGGCCAGGGCAGCTGCTGCCTTTGACACTGTTTGGGTTAGCAGCCCTTCCTTGCAGGCCCTCACCATATGTGTGAGCAACGTGCACATTGTGTGCTCCCTGCCAAGCTGCCCCCAGAAGGCTCCTGACAGCATGCCTTCTTTTCTTGGGGACAAAAAAGATTAAAACTTCGTTAAAAAGTGAGGGAGATAATGACAGACCATCTTATAATTAGACCAACTGTGAATTATCTGGCTGCAAACCTTGAAATTTGACCACAGGTGCCAGATTTTTTTTCAGTATGACACAAAATAAAGACTATTTATAATGTCCTTCAGAATTGTGAGTTAAAGTCACGACAGCTTTAAAGAATTTCTGTTTTCTTGCTGATCTGCCCATGCCTTTGCTGACTCAAGGCAATACCTGACAATGGTCCTGTAGAGCTGTGAGCCAGGCAGATTTTAAAGCAAGTAAACACTAATCACCTGATACAGTATGGTCTTATTTGACCTGGTGTAGGAGTCTCTGCTTTAGCATCTATTTCAGGTTCTACCTGGGAAGAAAACACTGCAGGTCTGTAATAGTGATCTCACCTTCCGAGCTCTCATAGTGTTGTATGAAATTCCCCTGCAGAACAAGGACCTGAAGGGTAAGAGGGGATTTAGTCTTGAAGTTTGTCTCTGAATTTATGACTTGTACACAAAACAGTTACATTTGTATGTAGGACCTTCCCTAGGTAACAAACCTTTTTTCCCTTTTGTGTTTTCAGGACAGTCAGTGTGGAACCGTAATTGACGTCAACATCGAGTGTGCTGTGAAGCTGGTGGGAACCAACTGCATCCTTTACCCTGTCAACAGCAAAGACCTGCAGCATATCTGGGTGAGAACACAGCCAAAATACCCTGGGAGCCAGGGCCTGGTGGTGCAGGGATGCTGCTGCACTTCAAGTCTCTCTTGAAGGCGAAGCATCCATGTTGTGCAAGATGCATCTGCAGTTTGGTTTTATTTTAAAAACCTCCCTAGCAGAAGATGATGCAGCATCTCCTCATCTCCCCATCTGTTCTGTGTTTCTCATCACATTGCTGAGACCAAATTTTCTTGAAGAGCTAGACTGACATGAAATTATGTGAGAACTTCTGCACTGAGTGTGGAAAGCTGGTGTGGCAGCCTGACCAGGGCAGCCCATGGCCCAGAGCTGCTGAGCTGTGACACCACTGCTGTTGAAACAGGCTACAAAAATGCTGAGATGAGTCAAGCATGTTTCTGTTGAGCTGGAACAGTCTCAAACATATCTGTTTCTCTCTTTGAGTGTATAGTTGGTTTCCAGAGACCAGGTAGGATAGGATTTCATCATTGCTTTTCCTCTGAGATAAAGATAATTTGGGAGTGAAGAGCAGGAATGTCATAACTCATCCCAAGTCACAGCCTGCAGGAAGACAGTAGGATATGAGCTCCTCTGGGATGAAAAATTAGTCTTAGTGATAAAAATTGGCTCCAGCTGCAACAATTACTTAAAAAGTTTTGTTTCCTGTTTTCATCACAGCCTTTCATGTATGGTGACTACATAGCCTATGACTGCTGGCTGGGCAAGGTCTATGACTTGAAGAACCAGGTCATCCTCAAGCTCTCCAATGGAGCCAGGTACTTCTCTCCTTCCTTTGGAAGACTGTCCTCCCTGGTTTTCACAATCCTGATCTGTTTTATGAGAACAAGAAACAGTTTGGGCTTCATTTACAAAGTGATAAGTTATCTGCTTGCATGATCTTCAGATGTAGAGCAAAAGAATACTTCTTTCTCTGAAAACATTGAGATTCATTGACAGCCCTCTGGAAAAGCTGTAGCCTGAAAGGTGGCAATAGTTTTCAATCCCAGCAGATCAGTGCTCCAGCACTAAAGCACACTTTAAACTGTGCTTCTCCTCTGCAAAAGTAGCTGTTTAAATGGGTAGTTGTTCCAGACTATTTGTCAGTAGGAGAGCATAACTTCACTGAGCTGCAGGGAGAATTCTTACCTTAAAAAAGGCTCTGTGAAATGATGGAAATTTGCAGGCTTGTGGTTTTTATCAAAGATGAAAAAGCAACCCAATATAGAACAGCTTTCTTTTTTCACTGAATTTTTTATAAATGAAAACACAATCCAAAGTCTAGGGAAAGATTTACCCAGAGATATTGAAAGAAATATGTGATGAAATTTCTGCAAAGCCAGCAGAAGGATCTGAATTCTGTTCCTCTTGCATCTGAGACAGTGACTTGTGTGCTAACCTTATGGATTCACTACATTCTCTGTTACTGAGGCCTGTCTTATCCAACAAACTCTTGATGCAAGGGAAGGAAGGAGCCAGTGGAGGGCCAAGAGGTGTATGGGCCTGGCAGCTGGGGAATAACCCATCTGTCTTGTAAATTGAGTGTTGACATTGATGTTTAAAACACAACAATCCAATCTCCAACCCTACAGCCAGCTCTGAGTCTGAGAGAAGTGAGTAATGTGGGAGCTGTAGCAGATAACTGGTGGGTGGATGCATCTGAGAGTTTTGACTGTTACTGTGAGGTTAACCCAGGCTGGAAGGTTCTTAGGCCTGTGTTAAACTAGGAGTGAAAAATAGCCACACATCTGTCTGTAAGGCCTGCAGTTATTGGTGCAATTTAAAACTTTGCTTGGAATCTTGTAACAGCTCCTGCACAGCTGTGTAAAAGTGAGGGACTGCTTGCAGAACCTCTTCCTAATGAATCATTTGAAATGCCACCAGAACTTACTCTGGAAATGAAGCAATTACTAAAAGAAATGTGCCCAAATTGCCTTTAAGTCCCAACATGGTGTGAGTAAGAGATGGGACCTCTGCAGCAGAGAGATCTTGTCCAGCACCCAGCCTGTTACTTAGCTTGCTTTTTTACATGTTGAATGGGACCTTTAGATACCTTTAATGCTTTTACAGCTTGTCCATGACCAGTTTTTCTCTGGCCCATAAAAGCTCAGTGATACACTGCTGGGTGCATGGCCAGAAGTGCTCAGGCTGTTCTTTGGGTGCTGTTTGCTTTTGGGGTGGCTTTGGAAGTGTGACCCTGTGTCTCCTGTCTGTTTCCAGGTGTTCCATGAGCACAGAAGATGGAGCCAAGCTGTATGATGTTTGTCCCCACGTCAGTGACTCGGTGAGCTGCTGCCTCTCCTGACTTTGTCTTGGAAACTTTTTGTGCAGGAGGGAGGGAGAAGGCAAAATTCATACGAATTTATTAATCCTAAGAATGTATCACTTCCAGTAACAGTTTAAAGGTGATGTTAGTCACGAGCAGGGTTTCAGGAGGTATTACAATTGATACATCCAAGTGGTTTCTTTGTAAACAACTTGTGTAACACACTGTCAGATGGCTGGTGTCAAGGCAGTTCACTCACTGCTCCTTCTGTCTGCACATGCTTCTAAAGGCTCTTACGCCATTTACTGCTTTTAAAAACTGTTCCTCTTCTGGAAAAAGGGGTTTTGTTTAACAGGTGTTCTGCTAGAAGCAGGTTTTCAGGTCATGTAATGTAATGTCTCTTGTTACTGCAGTCCGTGGTGTTTTTTGAACAGAGACCTGCCGCCACACTGGCATTTTCCAAATCACATGGCAGGGAAGGTTTTGCTTGCTTTTGGGTAAAACAGTTTGCTGTGTGATGGGATCTAACCTCTCTCACCTTCAAAGGCTGATGACAGCCTGCTTGTTCTTCCAGAGGGCCTTGCTGCACTCCTGGCAGCAGTGCTGGGAGATGACAGAGGATGACGTGTGATGCTTAGGAACTAGCAAAGCACTGAGCTCTTATCCTTCCCAGCCTTGAAAGCAAAGGTCCCTTTGATCTAAAACTGCACTTCTGCTAAAACTTGATGCCAGCTTGTTGAAGAGTAAATGGAATAGCAGTTCAATAGGATGTGCTGCTGTGGTTTTCTGGTTCTGTACAGAAAAGGAGTGCTCTGTCACTCGATATTCTCCAATAGCCTCTGCTACTTTGGGTTCTGCAGTGTGTTTTCTGCTCACTAAATGGATGTTGTAGCAACATTTAGCTTGTGGTTACCTAATTTTGAGATGGCTTGTTTTGAGTCAGGCTGCCTTGAAAGTGTACACAGCCCTCTGGGGAATCACAGTTTGGGCTGAATCAGCTGTCTCCAGTGCTACTCTTGATCCTGTGCTCAGAATTGCTGTGTGTTAGTTGGGTACCTGACTTAGATCTTGTCACACTGCTCTTATCCCTTCTGACAAATTACAAGACTTGATGCAGTTTTGTGCTCAGTGTTTTATCTACCCTAAACTGCTCTGTCCGCCCCCACACTCTGAAACTCAGTATCAGTGGGAAGGAGCTCTAGGAAAGCAATTGTTGTGTTTACTGTCCTGTTTTTGTTTTCAAAGAACTGTCATATTAACTAATCCACCTGAGACAGGAATAATACTTACACACTAAATATGACAAGCAGGGGAGTGAAGGCACACATCCATTCCCTCTGAAAGATATAGGTGCTTGAATTAGAGCATGAAAAAGAGATGTCCTTGCCCTGCTGACCTTGGCTACCTTGTTACTGAGAACCTCTGTGTGGAAATGTGCATCTTTAGTTTATTGCAAGTCCCTTTGCTTCTCCTGCACCAAGTCCTGGTCCTGGTGGGCTGTGTGACACAGCAGGTTGCTATAGGAATTGTTGGGTTGCCTTCAGGAAAGGATGAGATACAGGAGATGGGCATCTTGCAGACTTTACCTTTATAGTTAATTTTACTGACCACAAAAGGTGGAAGGGAAATGCTGGGATATTAAATCTTAGAGTCCTTTACTTCTCCCCTCTATTTCTCCCACAGGGTCTCTTCTTTGATGATTCATATGGCTTTTATCCTGGACAAGTCCTCATTGGGCCATCTAAAGTGTTCTCCAGTGTGCAGTGGCTGTCGGGTGTGAAGCCTGTTCTGAGCACAAAGAGCAAGTTCAGAGTGGTGGTGGAGGAGGTAAGGACTGACACCCTGACACATGGCCACCTTCTGCCTGCATGGTCCCTGGCTGGCTGTTTGGAGCAGAGTCAGCTTGCCATGGTAACCTCCCAAGAGCAAATGTGCTGTGCCTGTGCTGTTCTGAGGTGACAAATTTCTCACTGGGGACTGGCAGGACTTTGGAGCATCCTAGCAAGGGTCCCTGCTGGCACCCTGTAAAGTGATCATGTGTCAGCACACTCAGAGGGCAGTACTGCTGATCATTAGGGCAGTAGGAGCACATCTTCTATTGAAACTAAATGTTGTATGCTGTCCAAAAAGGAGAAATATTGCTGATTCTTTGCTTAAAGAAGGAGCAGCTCCAAGTCCATTAGCATATCTCTTTGTGACATTGGACTGCTTCCTTCCCAAGCCACTGGTCTTTCCTTAAAGTTAAATTTGTAGAATCTCTGTTGTCAGGGGTCAGGCTATGGGGGCACTGTGATTGTCCTGGATGGGTGAAACTTCACTTGCCCATATTAAATGATAAAAGCAGGTTTGCCACTTTCCTGTGTGTAAACTTTGACATCTGAGATATGGGTCTGGGAAAGTCTCTGAAATGTGTAATTGCCTTTTCTATCACTACATTGTAGGTACAGGTGGTAGAACTAAAGGTTACTTGGATCACTAAAAGCTTCTGTCCTGGAGGTACTGACAGTGTGAGCCCTCCTCCCTCAATAATCAGCCAGGATAAGCTGTCCAGGTGAGATCCCTTGGAAACCCCTTGTTAATCCCAGCACTCAGGCCCTGCAGGCTGTGGATACCAGGTGAAGGGACACAATGCTTCTGTTTCCAGCAGGATTTTTTCTTCTATGTTACATGCCTGCATATCCCAGAGCATTTAAATCTCGTATTTAAAAATACGAGAGAACTTCCAAATGAGTTTAGCAGACACTTGAGTTACCAGCACGAGGGCAAGCATCCTGCTAGTGCCAAGTTCTCTCCAGCTGACACGTGCACTGGGTGGTGTCTGGCAGCAGCTTCCTTCTTCCCTTGTCCTTGGACTCCTGGAGCAGGCTGCAGCTCCGTGTGTGTCAGGGCTGGGGCTCAGGGGTGCGGCTGCAGCCCGGGCTGGTGCTGAGGCAGTAACTGGTGCCCTCTGCAGGCTGCAGCTGCTGGAATGGACTGGGAAAGCTCAAAAGACAAGTCAGATGAGCAGCAGCACTGTCAGTGTAGGTCCTGCCTGGAGCTCCTGCACTGGAGGGGAGCAACTCTCAAATTACAGCAAAAAGCCCCAAATGTCTCTTGGCAGCTGTCTCTGGGAGGAGGAGGGGAGCTACAGGGAGAGGAGTGTTTTGTGTCCCACCCAAACCCTCTGTATCCCCACCCAATCCCTGGTGGAATTCCCACTTCTCCTTTAGAATTGTATGCCTGGAAATGATTTGATGTGGTGCTGTGCCAGCCCTGCAGCAGCACTGTTGGTGTGAGGCTGTGCCAAGCCTTGTCAGGGCCCTGGGCACTGCTGGGTTCTGTTTCTGTCCTGTGCTCATGGCTCTCCTGTTCTGCCAGGGTGAAGCGTCTGGGCTGCTTTGACCATGCCCAAAGGCAGCTTGGGGAAAGGTGCCTCTACGTGTTCCCAGACAAGGTGGAACCTGCAAAAATCACCTGTGAATGTCCAGAGAGGAATTGTGTCCTGGGTGAAGGAGCAGTTGCCAAAAAGGTGAGTTGGGGGGTCGAGGGAGGCATTGACATCTCTAAGCATTTGTGGTCACTGTGGCTTTTAAAGCAGACATCTTCCTGGTAGTCATGTGGTCTGAAATGTGATTCCTGGAGTGGTTGTAGGAGTAATGGCTTGTTGTTGCCAGCAGGGAAGTCACCTTGTGGAGCACTCTGACTGCTCTGGGTGAAGCATGCAGCTGCACCTTGAGAGAACACGAACAGGGCCTCAGCACAGAAATGGCACCTTGCAGGGGTCAAGTGTGCTCTGACAGCTGGGATTTAAAAACATGTTGTTTTCCTTAGCATTCTCATGGAGCTGAAATGTTCGGTTAAATCCTTGCTACAGAGAAGCAAGGAAGTTGTTTTTGCTTCCTAGGCCACATGAATCATGTCTGTACCTGCTGGCTGTAGAACCATGGCGTTCCTAGAATAACAGGATGTCATCAGTGTGTAGATGGTGACCTCTGTGCATGTTACATGGATTTACTTGTGACCTTCCATGGTAAAAAAGTTCAAAACATGCCTAAAATAAGCTGAAGGAGCAAAGCTCACTTCACGTGGGCTAGTGCAGTGCTGCTCCTGAGCAGAGCACTGTGAGCTGCTGGTTTGCAGAGTAGTCTGGTGCAGGTGAAATTTGCAGAGCCCCATGAGTGCTGTTTTTCCTGCACAAAGCTGAGCATTCCCCAGGCTGCTGAGTGCCCAGGCACAGGTCTGACCCACGTCTGCTCTGTCCAGGTGAGGCGGCTGCTGAAGAAGCAGATTGTGAAGATCATGTCGTGCTCCCCAGAGTCTCAGGGCACAGGTGAAGCCCCTGACAAAGAGTCTGCTGCAGCTGCTGACCAAAAATCAGAGGAGCTTAAGCCTGAATCCAAGTGTGAGCTGGATGACTCTTCCAACAGTGCACCAAGTCCTGGGGAGAGAAAGGAGGAGCAGCCTGAAGAAACAGGCAAGGAGAAAGAGGGAGCAGCAGCACAGCAGCAGCAGCAGGCCCCGTTTCTCCTGAAGGATGAAGGGCTGCCTGACTACAGGCTGCAGTCCATGGAGCAGGATGCTGATGATGAGGCAGCTGATGACACTGATGACACCAGTTCTGTCACCTCTTCTGCCAGCTCCACTGCCTCGTCCCAGAGTGGCAGCGGCACCTGCCGCAAGAAGAGCATCCCTCTTTCCATCAAAAACTTGAAGAGGAAGCACAAGAAGAAGAAGACCAAGGTTTCACGAGAGTTTAAGCCAGGAGACAGGTGAGCTGAACTTCCACACCCATTTGTAATTGCCAAAATCTCCTTTCCCCAAGTGCTCAGCTGTAAAGCAGCACCTGAACTCGGGTGCAGGACGATGGGGAGTTTGGGCTCTGCTTGGTAGTAACTGACAGCAATTATCTTGTGATGACTGTGCAGTGGCCTGTGTGGAATCAGCTTGGTCTCAGTCCAGCTCCTGATGAAACTGGGGCCATGTGACCTGACACTGATGCTATTCCATTTCAGCTGTGCCTCAGGGCATGGACAGCATATCTGTGCTGTGCTGGGTTCTCTGTGCAGGGAAGGAGGTGAATAAAGATCACACAACTTAAACATGACACTAATTGGTTACCTTATTGGCAGCTTCTGCAGAGAGGCTGAGGACAGACCATGCTAGGAATGGACAGCTTATCCTGGAGAGCTGTCTCCAGAGCAGCACAGAGCTCTGAGCTGGCAAGGGTAGTGCTGCTGTGGGCTCTGTTATCCTGGCCCTGCTCTGCAGAGATCTGCCATTTTTGCCAGCAGTATACTTCTCAATGTTAGAATTGTTTAATGAATAAATTGCACTCACTCCTTGAGAGCCTTGGAGGAATTTATTTCAGTAGCTTGAGGGAGGGGGCACTGCATATATCTGCCCATTTCTAGACAAAAATGGATGTCAGCAGCTTTTACCTTTAACTTAGAATGTTTAAACTGTTTTCATGGGATGGAAGGACATCTGACAAGTGGTCTGCCTGTCTTCCCTGGGCTGCTTAGTTGTGTACAGATTCTGCATCAACTGATGCAAGAGAACATGGGAGAATTCTCTCAGGAAAGTGACATTATCAGAGATTATTCACGAGATTCACTAGTTTGAGAATGTCACGAACTTCATTGGCATTTTTTGTAGGTATTTAGCCTTGCCTGTGAGTGTTTCTTGTAGTCCTTGTAAGTTCTGGAGAAATTAGATTTGAAGGTCACAAAGCCCAGCAGAGCAGCATCCAAGTGTGAGAAAAAACAGGAGTGTGTGATAGAGTTCCTGGGAACAGATCCTCGGTTCACTCTTCATGTCTCACTCCCCCGCTTAGTGTCTCTGTTTTATTCAAGGTTTTTCTAAGGAGAGCTCAGCTAGGGCACCTGGTGGCTCCCTGTACCATCCAGGCAGAGGGGAGAAATCCCTGTGTCAACCCCAGGAAATTCCAGTGCTGATCAGGGCAGCTCAACACAAGGAGATGCAGAGACAACCATGGCACAGAGTAGGAGTCAGAGGAGCACAGACTGAGAGCCCCCAGCTGATGCTGTGATGGGTACATGGGGCAGCTGGGCACAGCTCAGTGTGAGAGGCCAGTGCTGTTGAATGTTCCTCTGGGGTGCTGAGGAATCAGACATGTTTCTCTGGTCATCAGAGATGTTCTGCCAGGCACTGCTGAGAAATGCCTGGGCTGCCTGCGCTCAGTGATGCACATGGGATGTGGCAGCTCCTGGGCAGTGTGGCTGCAGGGGCCAGCTCAGCATGTGGCTTTGCCATCAGTGAGTGACCTGCTGCAGCTCTCTGTGCAGCACACAGACAGCTGGATATCTTTCAGTGAGGATATATAAGGATTTTTATTAACACCAAGTCTTGATTTTTGTTTGGAGCCACCATTGCAGACAAGAGTGCCTCATTTCCTTGCACAGCCTTTCCACTCCCATCCTCAGCTGCACATGCCATCCTCTGTCCCCCAGACGTGTCCTCTGTCACACAGAAACCATCTTGTTGTGTATCACACACACACTTGGCCTGTTACAGACCCTTCTCTGATAATTTCTGTTGTTAAGTGCTGGCCCTGCTAAAACTTCATCTTGTTTCCACTTAAAAATATTTCTCTGACATTGATAAAAACAGGGCTGGGGACAAACAGCTGTATTTGCCTATTGTATCTTCATTCTGATTTGGTTCTGAAACTAACATAAATCCAGCACTTGTGTTATTCTGGAAGGGCTGGCCAGCAAAGTAAAGGGAAGATTTAAAAGCCAGTATGAGGTTTGGTTTGTTCTGTTCTGTAGGAGACATGAAATTAGTGGAGGGCTCATTAGAAGAGTGTCCAGCTAGGCTGCCCCTCCTGCCCCAAGCACTTTGCCTTGTCAAGCATCCCTGTGAAGCCCCACAGCAGAGAACCAGCATGTGGTCCATTGTGGTGTGTTTGGGTTTAATTTCTGAGCTGCAGAGACACATGTGTGTTTGAACAGCTGGGGAGGACATTTTTCTCTTTTAAACAAAATCCTTTTGCTTTACTCACATTCAATGTGTAGCCTCTTTCCTTTGTTTTGGTTTTTTTTTTCCTCTCTGGAAGGGCTGTGATGATTTATCTTTCCACTCATGTATTCTTCTACTTTCAAAGACTCCTCAGAGCTAGAAGGTGCTCCAGTGGAGAAGATCTCAAGCTTCAAACTATTTGAATCTCCTGTCAGGGGCAGAAAGTGGGTGCTAGTAGATGTTAATTTGCCTCCTTAGGAATAAAAATGAACTCAGCAGGAGCTCCCTGGAAAGTCAGTGCTCCTTCAGCAATGTAACTCCTGCAGGGGTTGAGAGCCCATCAAAACAAAGCCTGCTGTGCAGCTGTGTCCATGTGCCCTGCATAGGGTTTTCTGACTGCCTTCCCAGCCTGCTGATCTGTGTTCCTTTGTGTTGCTGAGGTCCATCTTGATCCTTGATGTTCCCTTTGCCAATTCATTGCCTTTTTGTGCTGCCAGGGTTGCTGTGGAGGTGGTGACCACGATGACTTCAGCTGATGTGATGTGGCAGGATGGCACCGTGGAGACAAACATCCGCTCCAACGAGCTGATCCCTGTCCACCACCTGGACAACAACGAGTTCTGCCCTGGAGATTTTGTGGTGGACAAAAGAGGTATTGGGTGTCAGAGCAATGCTCTTAATTACAAAGTATTGTTCAGTTTGGATCCCCTAATTTGCTCTGTAGCTGTTAGGTGGGCACCTGACAGGGACAGCAGTGACTCAGCTGACTTGGTGGGAATGGCAACAGAGAACCATTATTGACATACCAAAGTTGAGCTATGACAACAGGAAGGATGTGGAAAGAATAAATACCAAGGATCCAAACTAAGATTTTCAGTATTTCTGCAGAGCAGGAGTTGCCTACCTTTAAAGGGCCAACAGCTCTGAGCTCTGTCCCACAGTGAGGGGAGAAACAAGCAGCTTACCTCAGGCTGTTATCTCTGTATGACTGATTTATCATGACCCTCATGTTTTTTTCATTGAGTTTTGGGATCCAGAGGCCTCTTCTTGTATCCCTTTTCTTCACCAAACCAATTGCTGATGCTAGTGAGGGCCACAGGACAAGTTCAAGGAGACTTGGAGCTTTTGGATATGAAATATTGATGAAACCATCTGGCTCTCAGCTCCTTTTCTAGCAAGGGTAGACCCTCAGCAGTGGGGACCAGAAGACACTTAGGTTGGGAAGCAGGAAATCTGGCTTAGCATAAATAGAGGCTGTTTTATGTGGCCATTTCTGATGAGTAATGTCTGACTGGTCTTCTGGGTTGCACGTAGTCTGTGGAAACTAAACTTACCCATCAGCTCCAGCTCTACCATTCTAGTTTGGCAACAATTCTCACTGTGTAGGAAGAAGTGTTTTTCCTCATGCCATTCACAAGTGGAAGGCTTTAGCCATGAGAGCCCAGGAGCTGACAGCCTCAGTCACTGAGCAAAGTCTGTGCTCCTTTGTCTGATTTGTCTGTTTTCTTCCCTGCCATTGTGACCAAAAGCTCAGAGCTCCCAGGACCCTGGCTTGTATGGAGTGGTGCAGTCTGGGGACCACATCGGCCGTACCTGTGTGGTGAAGTGGTTCAAGCTGAAACCCAGTGGAGATGATGTGGAGGTAAGTGCAACTAGCCAAGAGAAAGCAGCCACAAAATAACACATGCCTCACAGATAAACACAGATAAGCCTGGAAATCAGCTCTGCATTGATTGTGTGTCCTTGAGGAAGGGAACAATGCTTATGGACCTGAGAGACTTAGCTAGAGGTGATGTCACTTCATATTTGTACATGCCTGTGAGGTGGCAAAGATCAGGCAGATAATTTACATCCCATGGCATCATCAAGTTCTGGTATTGATGAATATTTTTGCTTAAGTTGTCACAGACAATTGATTTCTTGAGTTCACTATGAGAATTTTTCCTCCCCATGTCTTTGCATGGTTCATAAAAATAGGATCAATCTGTTGCACATTGTTGTGTTTGCATCTGCCAGATACTGTTGCCCACAGTTAACCTTTTTCCTGGGATTTTTAGGAATGCTGCAATGTATTTTTCAGAGTCTTGACAGACTGTAGTCTATCAAGATGCAGAGGGGGCCTCGACACTGCTTTGTCTTGGCCTGCCAGAGCACATTGTCATAACTGAGCAGGGCCCTTCACATGCAGAAGCAGAACATGTGTCTGGCCTAGGGTTGTGCTTCACTTATATCTCATAATTCATGAGCTCCTAGCTCTCTTTCTCCAGGAGAAATCAAAGGAAAGATGTTTCCCATTAAATGACAGGGTTTTTTGTCATATACTTCCTGTTGCATTGGATAATTTCAAAAGTAAGCTCTTGCCCTTTGGGCCCTTGAGAACTGCTTTGAGAAATCTGGATGTTGAGAAGGGAATAAAGCACTGTGGTTGCACATCTCCTTGTCATGGTGGCATGAACCCTGAGGTAAAAGTGAGGGTGAGCAGATGAGAGAGAATATCTGCTTCCTTTCATTGTTGCGCCTTGATCCACTGGACGAGGTGACAAAGCAGGACAGCAGCAGCAGCCCCTTGCAGGCCGAAAAGGGATCAAACAAACCACCAAGTGCTTTGCAGGGCTGAGGGTGTGCTCTGGGGGTCAGTGCAGCCTGTGGGGCTGACCTGTCCCTGTGTGTGGGTGCAGCTGATCGGGGAGGAGGAGGACGTGAGCGTCTACGACATCGCCGACCACCCCGACTTCCGCTTCCGCACCACCGACATCGTCATCCGCATCGGCAACTCCGACGGCGCCGCCGCCAAGGAGGACGAGGTGGGTCCTGGGCACGGGGCTGTGCCCACTGTGTCACCAGTGCTGGTGGGGACACTTGGAAAGGTGGATAGGAAGGTGTTAGACCCCGCGTTGGCATCCTAAATAACCTCCCTAGCTTCCTGATTTTGTATTGGTGTCCCCTGCTGTCATGAGTAACACATCAGAGCTCTGGCTGGTGGAGATGCAACCTTGAAATGCTTTGGCCTTGATGGCACTCTGCAGCAGAGCAAGAGTGAAGCTGAGACAAGGACTGAACATATGCCTGAGGGCTTTTCATAGAACTCGTGCTTAGGATTTCAGAGTAACTTGTAATAAAAGGATATTCTGTGGGCTCCTGAGCAACCATGAGGTGGATTTGTCATGAAACCTGTTTCACTTGGCAACAGAAGACTGGGGTTCAGCTATGGTGACTGAGCTATGTTCATGTTAATTTTGTTGAGCTGATTGATTTCCTTGGGGGAGGAAAGAACAATTTATATTGTAGACAAAACACCTCTGGAGTGTTTTGAGCCTGCTGCCCTAAAAACGTGTTAAAAAGTGTAGTGCGGCTGTTACAGCATGAAACACATCCCAGCCTGCTCAGCTGACCTAAATAACCTGCTGCAGGGCGAGGTGTCCCTTGCCTGCACGCCCTGCAAGACTGTGGCTTGTTTGTTCATGCCTGTGCTCTCTCTCTGAGGAGCCCCTGCTGCTGGGTGTTGGGGGAGCTGAGGGCACCCCACTAGAGGGCACCCCCATCCCAAGGAGGACCTGTTCCTTGCTGGCACTGAAAGGCTGCTGGTCCTGTCAAATACCAGGATCTCCTGCCAGACCAGCACTCCTGCTCCTTGTGGAGCCCTGTCCATGGCAGAGTTGTGTGGTTTCTGTATGGAGGATGCAGGTGTTGCTCTAGGTGGTTCTCCAGCTGGGGAATGTATTTCTCAAATCCTTCCTGCTTTGCACTGAAGTGCCTGGGGAGGAAAAGGGACTGACAAAGCACTCTTGTCTCCACAGCCCTCTGTCGGACAGGTGGCTCGTGTGGATGTCAGCAGCAAGGTGGAAGTGGTGTGGGCTGACAATTCCAAGACTATCATTCTGCCTCAGGTGAGGTCCTGTTCCAGCTCCCAGTGTCACTGTAACTCTTAGCTGAGTGATGAGATGTAGATTTAAATGCTGTGTGTAGAGAGATTCACTGGGTTAGGGACTCTTGCTCTGCTGATTGGTGCAGTCCCATGTGATAGGGTGGCTTTCCAATTCTGTTATCACAGGAAAATCCTTTTATCAGGAGGCAGACAGTTGGTCATAAGTGCTCTCTAATCTAGTGGTTAGGAAAGCCTGGACAGGCTCTCTTTGCCTTCACAAGCTCTGCCCACTGCCCTGCTCCTGGCCTCAGGCACCTGGGGCTTGGCAGAGCTCAGGGATCATTGGTTCTGACTGGAGCCCAGGTTTGTGCATTGCCCAACCAAGGCACTGCCAAAAGACGATTGCATGTTCTGTCTCTCTTGTGAAACACCACCATAGTGGGGTTTTCACTAAAGAAACTCCTCCAGAGGCTGGGCCAGAGCCACAAATTGTCACCTTAGCTAACCTAGGGATCAGACTCAAATCTTCTCCCAGACAGGGAGGGAAAGGGTTGAATGCAAGCTGAAAAATACAGATACAGCCACACTGCTAATCCACTGCTCCCTGCTCATTTGTCTGGGGTTCTTTTAAGGCTTTTGTTGTAATGTCCTGTACTCGTACTTGCTACTCCCCATACAGTTTCATCCCATGTCTTCTCTCCTTGTTGCCTGGAATGAAGGCAGACAGCCTAAAAATACAAGACAACCTACATCTGTAGAGTCCATTCTGTCCCTGCCAGAGCAGCCGCTGCCTCCACTGCAGAGATGCCTTAGCAAGTACAATGCACTTGACCAAGATCCCTTTCTAAAGCAAGCAGCTCTGCATTAATTACAGTAGAACAGTCAATGCCTGCACTGTGGCAGGGGACTGGGGCGTACAAAGCAGGCTGCTGTCTCCCTTCCCCGTTGTCACATGTGCTTGGATCACAGGCACAATCAGAGGTCTGATGCCTGCTCCACAAAGGGCTGTTCTCACACTGCAGTGTGCTCTGCAGCAGCTCCTGCTGTGTCACGCCAGTCCCTTCGATTCTGCTCCTCTGCGTAATGATGGGAGTTAGGGAAATGTCAGGAGCGTGAATTATCAGTTGGTAAAACCATGATTTATCAATGCCTGACCATGTGCCCAGAGACGAGCTGTCTGGGTGCTTTTTCACAGCTCTAAAAATAAAGATGGCATAACAGACTAATTAACTTTCCAACTCAGATTTGGATTAGCTTTGAGGGCAGTGAGTTTTGATGGCTTTTGGTGCCTGCAGTCACTTGTGTTGAACCCAGCTAACCTCTGCTGGCTGCCTGGCTCTGGGTGGCACAGGACTGGCTCAACAGTGCTGGTTCACTTGAAGGCTTTGACAGGATGACTGAGGGTCCCTGTGCTTCAGCCTCTGGGGTTGTGTGCTGCAAGATTAAGAGGATTCTTGGGCTGTCACTCAAGTATCAGGAGCTTGTGGATAAAATGCTTCTATCTTGTCACTGCAAGCACAGCCCTGTAAAAGTGTTCTTGCTCCCCTGGTTCTGTGTTGGTGCTTTAAGCTGGAGGAGCTCTGTAAACCTCTGCAGAGAGACCTCCTGAGACGTAGCATGTGCAAAAGCAAGTTGTAGGAGGTGAGGCTGGATGGAGTGGGGATGTGTTCAGCTTCCAGTAGTGAGAGGGAAGAGAGCATTTTATGTAAGAGCTTATTCAGCAGCTTGGGTGAGGCTCCATTGTCCCAGCTGAATTTTAAGCAGTAGCCACATATAACAGCTAAAGCAGTCTAGCAAGGCTCTCTTGGCAAATATTGTGTGCTACAGGAGGGGAGAGCTGCTACAGGAATGTGTTCCTGGTTCCAGCATTGTCTCTGTGGAAGGGCAGAGTGTGGAGGCAGCCAAACCAGGGCTCTGTGCCAAGCACAGTTGCTGGTGCAGAAGCAGGACCAGAAATACCAACTCCTCACATGATACCAAATACCTTCTGAGCTCTGTGTTCTGAAACCCTGGGGCACCCAGGGAGCTGTGGGGCACCTGCCTGCTCTCCAGGGCAGGATCCCAGACAGTGGGAGGACTGCAGCCCATCTAGAACTTGCCCTAGTTTTACCCCCAATGGCATAGTTGGAAAAGTGGAGGATAGGACTGTGTGGTTTCATAATCTGTGCCAGTATAGATGGAATGGGTTTAAACAGCCCAAACAATTCCAAATGGAAACTCCTTTTTCATGACTTATTTTAAAAACAACTAAAACTGTGCTTCAGCCTAAGTCTCGTGTTACTCTGTTCTCCTTTAGCACTTGTACAATATTGAATCAGAAATTGAGGAGTCAGACTATGATTCTGTTGATGGCAGCACCAGCGGGGCATCCTCAGAGTGGGAGGATGAAAGTGACAGCTGGGAGACAGATAATGGCCTCATGGAAGATGACCACCCAAAAATTGAGGACTTTGAGCCTGAGGAACCAGCAGCAGAGGAGGTGAAAAAAGTAGAAGAGCAAGTCCAGGGAGCTGTGGCTATGGCAGTTGCAGATCTTGCTACAGAAAAAGCTGGCAAGGATGGAGCCCCAAAGAGCTTCAGGGAACTAAAGGAGGCCATCAAGATCTTGGAAAGCCTGAAAAATATGACTGTGGAGCAGCTGCTGACTGGCTCTCCCACCTCCCCAACTGTGGAACTGGAGAAACCCACTCGAGAGAAGAAGTTCTTGGACGATATTAAAAAGCTGCAGGAAAATCTAAAGAAAACCTTGGATAATGTGGCTATTGCTGAGGAGGAAAAGATGGAAGCCATGGTAGAGACGGAGAAGAAGGAAGAAAAAGCAGAGGCACAGACACCAGTGAGGTCAGAGTGGCCCAGTGAGACCCCAGTGCTCTGCCAGCAGAGTGGAGGGAAGCCTGGAGTCACCTTCACCAGTGCCAAGGGAGAAGTGTTCTCTGTGTTGGAGTATGCTCCAGGTGGGTGTGGGACACTCAGTCCTTCACTGCTCTCCTGCAGTGTTTCTTTATCCAAAACCTTTGCCTCAAACCTTTTGGGTTCTGTATCCTCTCTTCTTCTTAGTCCTTTTCATAGCTCATTAACTAGAGAAGAGAAATTAAGCCAACTGCTGTTGCACAGTGTGTTCTGGGACCTCAGCATGGCTTTTAGATAGCATCTCTAGGCACTCCTGCACCTTCCCAAGCCTCAGAAGTGTGCTTCCCTCTTTCCCAGGGTGGTGACTAACATTGGAGGGCTGCAGACATCAGTTGCTTTCCATTGCAGACATTTCCTTGCAAGTTGCAGGGTTTGTTCAGGCTTTTTTTTTCAAGACTGAATTGGTTGAGAAGCAGAACAAAACCAGCTGGTGTCCTTGGTGAGTGAGTGTCCTTATTCACTGGCACCAGTTTTAAAAAAAGCACCTGGCTGAGTGAAACATTGGTGACAGTGGAACCCAAGGTGCTCCAGCCTGGGTGGGAAAGGTGAGCAGACTGTTGTGAAGCTGCAGGTGTGGGCAAGGGAAAGTGGGGAGCTGTGTTAGGTTTGGCAGGGCCGTTGTTCTGTGGGATTGTCCCAGCTGTGGGACAGGTTTCCTCGCCGGAGCACAGGGGACAGTGTTGTGTGGGACAGTGAGAACAGGAGATGCAGGTTGTGGTTGCTGCACTGTGTGGGAAATCATCTCTCCTGGCTCAGCACCAAAGCAAGTGAACTCCTCTCTTCCACTTGATGCATATTACACATGGGTAGATTTGCCTTCATGAGGAACCTGTGGCAGTTTCCAAAGTCAGGCTGTAATTGTTGTCTTCTTTGTCCCACAGACTCCCATGCCTTCAAGAAAATGGAGTTCCAGCCCCCAGAAGCCAAGAAGTTCTTCAGCACGGTGCGGAAGGAGATGGCTCTGCTGGCCACCTCCCTGCCCGATGGCATCATGGTGAAAACCTTCGAGGATCGAATGGCAAGTGCCAGCTCTCAGATGCCTCTGTGCTGGTGCTGGGCTCAGCATCCAGATCCCTGTCTTTGGAATTGCCTGCTTAGCCCTAATCCTTTGCATTAGAGCTGCAGGAATGTGTGCATTATGTGAAGTAGGGCTGTAATTACCCAAAATGGCTGCTTTTGCTGCTTTTGCATTCCCTGAGTCGGGGTGGCAAAAAAGGAGCTGCTGATTGCAGGGAGCCTGTTCTGGGTGCTGAGTGGGAAGGCAACCAGCAAGGGGCTGTGTCAGCAGGGAGTAAATTTGGCATTTTTGGCCCTCCTCGAAGCCCTGTTTCAGTTGCAAAGCTCACTTTGCTCTCAGGGTGCAACTTCTGGGAAGGTGCCTGAGATGTGTTGCTTGACCTGACACTCGAAAGGGCCAAGTCAATCACATCCCCACTCTCCCTGTGTGTAAATACAGCTCTGCCAGGGTAAGAGGGTGTTTCCCAGTGCCTGACCTCCTGCCTCTCCCCACAGGATCTCTTCTCAGCACTTATCAAAGGGCCCACACGCACACCCTATGAAGATGGACTCTTCCTGTTCGACATCCAGCTCCCCAACATCTACCCCGCCGTGCCGCCCCTGTTCCGCTACCTCTCCCAGTGCAGTGGGAGGCTGAACCCCAACCTGTACGACAATGGCAAAGTGTGTGTCAGCCTCCTGGGCACCTGGATTGGCAAGGTAATGCTGGCCCTGAGGAGCAGGGCTTGTGCTGGGCTGCTTTTGGAGCAAGTCACTTCCTACCAGACTTCTCTCTTGGGTGGTGCTTGAGCTGGAGTGGCCTGGGCTTTGGGCACTGGTTTAGGTGTCTGGAGCAGATAACTGGTGTTGTTTGGCTTTTTCTGGGTCTGTATTTGGCTCAACTGTCTCTCCTCAATGAGAAGTCTGTGGTCAGTCCAGCCATAGCAGAGATGCCAGCACCAGCATGGGGTGTGCCTGTGGGTTGGGGCTCTGTCTTCCACACTGTGGACAAATCATGCGGTACAAAGTCCAGCTGGAGACTTTGAATAAGCAGAGCCAGGGAAATAGGTTTTGAGCAGGACAGGGCAGCTGGGAAGGGGTTGGAACTGATGGTTGGTGTGCAAGTTTACACAGTTCCAGACAGAACTGGCCTGAGGGGGTGTGGTGCTGGTAAAAAAATAACGGGGAGATGTGTTGTTGAGATGGGACAGCAGCACATCACGTGCTCATGGAGTCAGTTCCCTGTTCCTGCTGTGAGCCACAGGATGTCAGCAACAGGAATGCAGAGCTGGGGCCTCACTTCATCTGACAGTAGTCACAGAGCAAGCTGATGGTGCTTCAGTCCTTTAACATATTTGTGTTTGCATTTCAGGGGACAGAAAGGTGGACCAGTAAATCCAGTCTCCTTCAAGTGCTCATCTCCATCCAAGGTAAATACTCCTGCCAAGCCTGTGGGGCAGGAAAAGGCAGAGGGAGGAAGGGATGTTGATTTATGGGGGGCACACAATTGGGATCTGCCACCCCAGCTGGGTCAGTGCTGCCTTTTGGTCTCACCTTGCTGGACAAAGCAGTGTCCTTATCTCTCTGCTTGAGCAGTGGAAGCAGGTGCCAGCTCTTCTCATGCCCAGAGCTCTGGCTGCATCCCAGGGCTCTGACACAATGCTTTCCCTTTTCTCACTGCAGCAGCCAGGCACAGAGTTGTCTGCTTTGTTACTCTGAGCTGACGGAGGTGAACCACCGTGTCCTCAGCCTGTTACCAAAGTTAGTTGAAGTTGCCAAACTGGGCCTCCTTTGCAGGACTTTTTTTTATCCCCACTGAGTCACCACCCATCCTACTTGGGACATGTTTTGCACATGATGCTGGTGTTTATGCTCCTACCAAAGCAGAGAATAATCAGGGGTGTGCCTAGACGAGCCCCAGGGCTTCCTGCCATGGGGCTTTGCTCTGCCCCATCCAGTTTGGGAGCAGACACACTAAATCACATAAATTCCTCCTGGGTGACTTTCTGTGCAGGGAGCTCAGGCATGTGATGAGAAACCTTTGACACAGAGCAAGGGTTCCTGCTGACTGGAGGCTGCTCCTGCTCCTCTGAACTCCCACAGTCCACCTGTATCCTCCTGTGGGGGAAGGACACCACAATAAAAGCCTTTTCTGGTTTCCGAAGCCAAGGATCCAAATTTAGAAAATGAAATACTAAATGTTTTACTGGAGCAACTTGGTGTTAGGGGAAAATCTCCTTTCCTGCTGCCTGGGTTTTGAGAGACACATGATCTCCCCGGCTCTAATGCAACTTGTGGCAGGCTGCCAGCAGCCTGGCAGTGCTGGGGCTATTGCCACATACCTGTAATTTCATTAGACCAGAAGTAAGCAGGAGAAATCTTGGTAAAGGTGGCTTGTCACAGTCTTCTGTGTCTCAGAACTGTAATGTCTGGTGGGACTTTGCTGGACAGAGCAGAACGTGGCCAGCTCAAATCCTGTTGATGCAGTCTGGCCTTTGTTCTGATTTAGAGGAGGAGGAAAATAAAAGCTTTTGTTGTGTTTGTGGGGTTTTCTGCAGGAGGGAAGTGAAAGGAGCTGTGAAACCTCTCCCTTCCTGCCCTTTTGAACTCCTCAGCTGTTGTGTGCCCTCTGCATTGTGCCAAGGAACACAGATGCCACTCCCTACCACATCACACCAGACCTTTGCATCCTGCACCTTCTGGGGGCTCAGCCTGGCCTGTGCCTGACCCCCTTGGCAGGAGAGGCCTGGCAGGGGACGGCGATGCTGTCCCCGCTTTAACCCCTTGCCGTCCGCTCTCCCGCAGGTCTCATCCTGGTGAACGAGCCCTACTACAACGAGGCCGGCTTCGACAGCGACCGGGGGCTGCAGGAGGGCTACGAGAACAGCCGCTGCTACAACGAGATGACGCTGATCCGCGTGGTGCAGTCCATGATGCAGCTGCTGCGCCGGCCCGTCGAGGTCTTCGAGCACGAGATCCGCGAGCATTTCCGCTGCCACGGCTGGCGCCTGGTGTCCCGCATCGAGTCCTGGCTGGAGACCAACGAGCTGGTGGAGCGCAGCCACGAACGGGCCAACGGGGCGGATTGCGCCTCGCTGCCGAGCGCCGAGAGCCCCGGGGACGCGGCGGGGGCGCTGGCCGAGGGCGGCGCCGCCGAACTGTCCGACTCGGCGCCGGACGCGAAGGAGGAGCCGGACGAGACGCCCGACGCCGGCGACCTCCAACAGTTGTCAGACTCGGAGAGCGCGGGCCAAGCCAGGAGGGACCTGGCCAGAGACCGAACGGACGAGGGGAAGGCTGCCCAGGACTCGGCCTCGCAGCCCAGCGTGAAACCAAAGAAAAGGAGAAAGAGCTACAGGAGTTTCCTGCCGGAGAAGAGCGGTTACCCCGATATCGGGTTTCCCCTCTTCCCTTTGTCCAAGGGGTTCATTAAAAGCATCCGCGGTGTCTTGCAGCAGTACCGGGCTGCCTTAGCAGGGGCCAACATCCCAGAGTGGACAGAGGACAAATAAACCATCAGGTTAGGGACAGGCAGGTGCAGGGGAGAAGGGAAAGCAGCAGAAAGTAAATTGGCAAATGCTGTTATCAATCAACTGGCTTCTCCTTCCAGCTTTTCTTCCTCAGCTTGGTTTGTTCCAAAGAAGGTGGTAGGCCTGACTGCTCCTCTGAGGAAAGGTTGTTTAAGCATGAATAACTCTTTTCCCCCAACCCCTCTTCCTTTCCCCTGTCCCATGTACGTGCTCTTCTTGCGAGTTTGACCCTGCAATGGTAAGATTTGAGACCTGCACAGAAGCAAGTCTTGCAGCCACGTTCCCTCTGCACTTTCATCTTGGGGCACCTTTCCACACAAGGACTCTTCCCACCCAGCGCTACACCCAGCAGTTTGTTCTGGTGGGGTTCCAGCCAGGAGAAGGGATTGCTGTAGTTTCTGGAAATGAAGGGCAATGCCCTCCCAGTCTTTTCTTTTTCTCAGCGTTCCCATGGGTTCTATGAAGTCTACCCCAGCTTATCTGTACTTAGACATTGGATTGTGTTTGCATTGGAGTTGTCTACACCATACGGAGTTGCTCTAGTCTTAGTTGTTCACCCATAGCTACAAGGTTCTTCCAGTCGGGATTGGTAGGCAGGGCCAGAGCTCTGCACTGGCACTTGTGCTGCCCTGGGAATGCTGCAGATTTCCATGCAGTTCTGCAACTTCCAGGTCAGTCTCCTGGAGGCAAGTCTAGCCATCCCCACTTCTTTTTCTCCAGAGTGAGGCAAACTTCCCTTTCCCCACCATGCATGCCTGTCTTCTAGAAATACATGGGATTCAGGGTTCTGCCCTTGTTATTGCTTAGGTATCTTTTGTTCCAGCCATCCCGGCTGTCACACAGCACTACACCCACCCTGGATCCCGGCCTCACGCGGGCAGGCAGCACTGAGTGACCCTGGGGCCTCTTGTAGATCTGGATGAGCCTGGTGTGGCTGCTGCTCCCTCTCCAGCTGCACACGGGTGCTCAGGGTCACCCCAGGCCCTGTTGTGGCAGCACCAGTTTGTGCTGGTTCCTGTGCTGTTACAGCAGCTCTTTTGGGCTGCTATCAGCTCCTTCCCTTGCCAGCTGTTTCCCATGGTGGCCTGGTTGTGGCCAGCAGCACTGTGGGCACAGCACTTCCCATCCCTACTCCCAGCCACGGTGCTGCTGGACACTCAGGGAAACACCTGCTGAGGGCAGCCTGTGTTCTGCTGAGGGCAGCCTGTGTTTGGCAGCCTGAGCTGGTGCCCATGAGCACTTTGAGACTGTGTGTTTTGCCTGTCCCCTGCTCAAGTCCCCTTCCTGAGGCCTCTGGTGCAGCCTGCACACACCCTCCCTTGCAGCTGGGTGCTCACACGCCAGCCCTGCTGCCTTTGCCCAGTGCTCAGGCACTGGAGAGGCACCCACGGAGCATCCATGGGGAGCACGGTGTGTCAGGGAGAGTCCTTGCAGCTGCCCAGGGAGGAGTCAGGCCGAGCTGTGGCTCTGCCAGAGGTAAGGATGGAGCCAAAGCTCTCCTTTGCTTTTGCTCTTGCTCACTGTGGCTGCGGTTAGAAACTGAGAACAGCAGGAGAATCCAAACGTGTTGTTGCTCCCAGAAACACCAAGGGCTGCACCCAACAGCCCAAATCCACCCCTCTCCCTCCACCCCCAGCTCCCTGTGCTTTCCTGCTGCCCCCATGGTGCTCCTGAGCCAGGGGCTGGTTGCACAAAGCCCTTCTCGTGTCCCCATCCACCACTGGGGTTTTGGAAGACATGTCCTTCTCCCGGTGCTCCAGAGGATGCAGGGCTTGGCTGTGATGAAGGCCTGGGCTGCAGAGCTCTCCAGCCACTGCTCTGTGGGTGCATCATCTGCAGCAGCTCCAGCCCTGCTCCCCAAGCCCTCCTGGCTGGTGGGAAGTCGGGCAGGTGCCGATTTGGGGAGCAGAGAGGTGCTGGGAGCTGTGGGTGGGGCAGGGCAGGCTGGAGCTGTGCCCGCAGCCAGGATGGGAGTGAATGGATCCCTTTGAACAGAGCACTGTGTCTCGGAGGGCTGGGGGCAAGAGGGGAGGCCACTGCTCCAGGGCAGGGGAAGAACAGGCAGAGGCTGATTCCAGGCACAAGCACAGTTTGTGATCCAGACAATGACACCCTCTGTCCCCAGAGCCAGGCTGTGGCTGCCCCGTGACCCACAGCACCAGGGATGGAGGGAGGGAGAAACCCGCTGGGGATGGAGGAGCTGTTGAGTTCCCCTTTTCCCCTCCTTTACTTTGCAGCTCTCATCTCACAGGGCAGGCACCACGTCCTCCCCTTTGCCCAAAAAGTCTCTGACCCTGCACAAGAGCTTTTGCACAGGCTGGGCTCCCTCTGAGGGGGTGGATGTTGGCCTTTGGAAGGGGACACTGCTCCCCCCGGCACCGCTCGCTCTCTGCAGCTGTCCTAAACCCAAGCGTGCACAGAGGTTTACAAATTTTCTAAAGCTTTTGATAATGTGAAGCTCCTGGGTGATGAGGTTGGTGGTGAGCACACTGCAGCTATGTAATTTTTTGTGTATGTATGTAATATTTAAGGGTAACAAAATTTAAAAGGCTAAAACCTTAAAAAAAAAATTTAAAAACACACAAAAAAAGCCAAAGCATGATGCATATTGTTAGCCTTAAAACTGGCTACACGACTGTGTGATGTACAAATGAGAGCAGCCTGTAACTGTTTTAAGTGCTGGGGAGGGGGAAGAAGCATTACAAAATCAGTTTGTAGCCTTGATTCTGTACAGTATTTAATGAATAAAAAAAACAAACCTGACTATTGAGGCCATGCTTAGAGGTGTGTCGTTCACGTGCAGATGTGGATGCTTGGTTGCTTATGATATATGTATAAAGTGCTGTGTGACCATTAAAACTTTTTTTACCTGCAGATTTTTTTTGTTTGGCTAACCAAGGTGTAATAAAGGAGGGAAGATGACTTGCCATTAAATTTTGCCTCTGTGAGTAGACCTGTGAGTTGTCTCTTTCTTTCCCCACCACCCCCTGCCACTCTCCTGGCACTTGCCCCTCTCTGGCTCATCCTGTGCCAGCCTCGGGGCTGGACAGGATCCCGCTGGCTGAAGCCAAGGCCGGTGAGTCCAGAGGGATCCAGGCAGGTCTGCCAGGGAGGGGCTGCTCTGTGGCTCTCCATAAAATGCTCCCCAAGCCCCTGATGTACAGAGGACATCTGTCAGGCTGGGATTTTTTCTTTCTGTGCTCCTTGCTGGTGCCTGGTGCCTGCTGGTGGCTCAGTGCCTGTCCCAGCACAGCTCTGGTACCCCCGGTGTTCATGGCCAGACTCAGACAAAAAGAAAACCTTTTGTGGGCCCCTGGGAGCTGTGCCCTGCCCTGCCCTCACCTCAGCACACAGGTGAGGCTGTGATGGATGGGGCTGGACGCAGCACTGCCGGGTGCTGCTGGAATCTGGAGCAGATGTGGAGTCGGGATCCTGACTTAGGTTTTGTCCCCCTGGGTGCCCTCCCTGCAGGGGCAGCTCGAGGTGCCAGTGCCCGGCTCGGGCAGTGCCCCGATGTGCTGGGGTTGTTCTCAGCACCCTCTGCCCCCTCCCTCGGTCCGGGAGCGCGGGGCTGTGCGGGAGGAGGGCCGGGGTCCCCGCTAGGAGCCCGTTCCTGCCGTCCAGCAGGGTTTGGAAGCAGATGGGTGATGGCTGCGAAACCCAGGAAAGGGAGGGCGAGGGCGATCCCGGCCAGCCCGCGGCTGCAGAGGCACACGGATCGCGGGGGAGCCTGCGGGGAGCCTTTCAGGGGCTGTGAGCCCGAACGGCTCCGCTCCGCTGCTCCGTGCGCGGTGACAGCGACAGCGACAGCTCCGAGCGCATCCCCTGCCGCGGCTCTGCCTCCAGCAGCGTTACAGAGTTACTGCTCAGCCTGTTCCTACACCTGGCCCCATGCCACGGGGGAAATAAGAAATAACTTCGTTTTGGGAGGTGGTTCCCAGCTGCCGCCTGCCCTGCTGGCTCGGGAACAGGGCTCCTCTGCATGAGCAAGTGAGGCCATGGGGGAAGGACAATCGCGCTCTTCTTTCCCCGATCTGCCATCCTAATTGCATCGTTTGCAGTTGAATAAATGCAAACAGCCACCACTGTTTACTCTTCTGCTTTGTACTTGAGCGCTGAAAATGAGGTATAATTGCTGCAATTTTATATCAAAGAGGCTGAGTAATCCCCCCCCAGGCCAGTCCCGCGGCAGGGACCTGTAGCAGGGCTCCAGCTGGCCCCGGGCAGCCGGAACAAAGGATGCGAGGGTCCCTCAAAAGGCCCCTGCTGCAGGCAGAAAGCCAAACGACCCCTCCTTGAACCTCTTCCATGAGTCCTTCCCTGCTGTCGCTGAGGCACCGAACATTCCCCAGCACGTCCCCAAGTGTCACTGCAGGGCTGATTACCTGCATTCGATCAGCCCCAGCATGAGGCTGAGCAGGGAGGCAGCGCTGCACCCCGACAATGAGGATGGGTGGTGGCAGCAATGCCCTGTCCTTGTCCTGCCTCCTCAGCACCTCCCCGGGAGCCTCTCCAGGGCCCCTCGCTCAGTGCTGCTCCTGCCGGGATGTCACGGAGCAAAGGCTGCGGTGCTGAGCTAAACCTGTCCCAACCCCTGAGAGCGGCCGTGAGCTCGGATTCAAAACCCAGGAAGGATTTTTTTTTTTAATTTTTTTTTTTTTTTTTTTTTTTTTTTTTTTTTGCAAATGCTAGATATTTATTTTGCATTTTTTCACAAGAATAAACTCCGCTTCTACAGGAAGCTTTGGGTAGAAACATTCTTTAAAAAGTCGGTTTATTGTATTAGATCTATTGGTCCTGACCCTCCCTGGGGGTGGCACTGGCTCCGGGGCGGGGACACAGCAATGCCACCGTGTGCGTCCGAGCCGGGGAGGGGACGGGGCTGTGCCGGCGCAGCCGCCTGGGGGCCGGGACCTCGTACCGGGATAAAACACGCTGGCGTCTCGCCGGCACCGAGTACCTGATGGGGCTTGTGGCTCATTTTGGGAACAGCGCTGGTGGCCGTTCCAAGGGGGGTAAAGCTAAGCGTGGGGGCAAGCGAGGGGATGAGCCCCCACGCCCCCCCAAGACCTATTGCTGTGGAAGGAGGGGGTTCCTGAGTGGGAGGAAGGCTCTGCCACCCTCGCGCCGGGCCGTGCCGGCAGCTCAGCGCCGCAGGGAGGGCGAACGGGGAGCTCAGGAGCCGCTGAGGACGCGGCAGAGGCGGGGATGGACCTGGCCCTGCACGGGCTCGCAGGCCAGCGCCTCCCCATCCACCGTCATGACGCCCGCGGGCACCCGCGGCTCCAGGCGGAACGCCCGCACCGGGACGTAGGACAGGTGGGGACAGTTCAAGTCCAGGTGCGTCCCCCTGGACATGGCCAGGAAGAGCTTGAGCAGCGTCACGCGGCTGATGCCGGCCTTCATGTAGAAGAGGTGGATGCAGCCGTCGTGCAGCCGGGCCGCCGGCGCCATCAGCAGGTTGGTGCCCAGGTGGGACTGGTAGATGGCGTAGACCAGGACAAACTCCTCCTCGGGCACCACGGTCCAGTGCGCCGGCACGGGCTGGCCCAGCGGCGGCAGCAGCGAGTCGGGGGGCAGCGAGCCGGGCGCCGCCGTGCCCGCGGGCTGCGGGATGTGCCCGTTGCTGACGGGCGCGGGGCCGTCCCGGGGCCACGGGGAGCTGCCGCCCTGCTCCGCGGCCACGGGCAGGTAGGACAGGCGGCCCTGGTACACCCTGAGCTTGGCCAGGCACTGCAGCGTGCCCAGCGTGAAGCGGGCGCTGCCCAGCCAGCGGTACTTCTCGCTGTCGATGTCCACGTCCGAGATGAAGCCCCAGCCAAAGCCCAGGAAGGAGAAGAAGCGTTTGCCCGAGGCCGTGCTCAGCGACACCAGGTCCATCTGCGTGTACAGCCCCTTGCACAGGATGAAGGTGCAGTTTGTCAGCAGCTTTTTCTTGGCGACGTGGTCGTAGCTGTGAGGGATGGAGAGAGTGAG